TGATCCTGAGAGGAAGATGCAGAGATTGCAAACAGGATTCTAATCCTAAAATAGGTTTCAATAATTTCATCAGGTCTACCTAGTCAAGGGCCAATAGCAAGGTACTTAAACACAGGCCTAGCTTTAACCATGGGAATGAACTGGAACCAAATTCACAATTCCAACACCAAACAATTACAAAGCCACTGTTACTGGACATGGCAGACAAACTGGGAACATAAATAGGTCAAATGTAGCCACTGAGAAACATTTTACTTAGCTTATATCTTTGTATGATACTGATTTTATGTGCCAAACTAATCAGGCATAACAAAGCATACAAAGGTGGTAGGTTCAGCCCCATATTTTCTTGAATCTGTCTCATATCAGTCATTTCGACTACTTAGTACAGAATAAGCAAAGCCACCATACCTTATCAAATGATTCAAACTCCATGTATGGACACTTCAAATGTTGAGAAAACAAGAAAGGATGAAATTCTTCATATCTGTAAGATATACATTTAATAGTATCACTTGAAAACTAGTTTATCTTAAGTACTCTAGTAAGAAAAGGAGTTAATACTTCAAATATTTACGTGAGGATTTCTTCTGCAGGTTTATCTGGCTCTAGGCTTGGTTTTTTCTCCCGCTTCTGGATAATAAAACCCTTTAAAAGAAAAAAAAAGAAAACATAAGACACCACATTCATACTCATTTCTTTCCAAGAATCTTAAAAGGTATTTTCTCTTTACCAGGAACAGTTCAACAGCTTGCAACCATCTGACACTAAATCCGCAGATTAGGGGAAAAAAGTGCTAAGTGACTTCACAGGTAAAATTTTGGCCATACACTTTACTCCAAAATTTTCCAAATGAATGCTGAACTTCTGTAACAAACCTAAGTCTAGAATGCATCACACAATCTTTGCATTTTAGGGTGTGTCTAGATTACAGGGTTTTGTTGACAAAACTGGACTTTTGTCGACAAAACTACACTGCTGCTGAGTTCTGTCGACGTAACGTCGGCAGAACTCAGCAGTTTTGTCGGTGGCTGTAAACCTCATTCTACGAGGAATAATGCCTTTTGTCGACAGAGTTCTGTCAACAGAAGGTGTTATTGCATCTACACTGTCCTTTGCGTCGACACTGTCACGTCGACAAAGCTTTGTCGACAGTATCTGTCAACAAAACTTCTGTCAACAAAAGCCTGTAGTCTAGACATACCCTTAGATTTTAAACAACCCTTGGTTGTTTGGGATGCAATAATGAACAAGTCAGAATGAATCGTACCACAAACTGAGCAATTCTTTCCTCTCTGAAGTCAGAGAACTTGTTCTGAGCCTGCTGCCTTATAATATGGAAGAATGGATGGCCAGTAGCACAGGTTTTCCACTAGAGCTAAAAACGATGAGAAACACTGACACAGATCAATATAGAAGGATCAATTTACAGTCATGTTGCTCGCCAGGCTCATGAAGAGAGATACCTTGAAAGAAATAATTGCAAAATTAAATGTTGGTTCCTCACTGAAATACAGCCTAAGATTATTCTGATATCCCTGAACTCTTCATATGTTAAATTAATATCCCTGTTTAAATGAAATGATGACACGCAAGTCAGATAGGTCCTTTAACTTCATTATCTCATTTAGAAGCTGCGTATCCAAGGCAAAGGGCACATATATATTTTGATTAGCATCAGGAGTGCATCATAGCAGCAAAAATAGAATACAGCCAGTGTTCCCCCTAAGCTGCGCATCAGCACAGATTCACAGGTGATTAACCAGCCCTCCCCAGTCAGAGGTTCACGGCTCCATGCACGAAAGCTGTGCTGCCACACAGCTTGGAGGGAACAGTAAAAACAACAATCTGAGAAGATATGATTGGGATGCTAAAGCAGTAGCAAATATTGACATGATAAAAAATTAACATGTTCTTCTATTAGACAGTTTAACTTTGAAATTTTTAAACATAACAGAACCATGCAGATATCAGATTTACCTTTCCACTGAAGTTGTCAGTTATCTTCATGTATTCTTCTGCCTTCTGTAAAGCAGCAAGTACCCTTTCAATATTTTCTGAAAGAAATAAATGGATTTTGAAGTGGCAAGAATTTTGGGATCTTTTACAATACACACACAGTACACTATTTAACTGATGAAGGGTAAAGACTGACAGACCAAAAACTAATCTATGCTACTAACTGCATTTCTAGTCAAGGGTATGGGGGAATTTTTTCCAGTGCACAGTTCTTGTGAGAAGTCTTGATTATGAGATTTTCCAATACTCCTACTCTCCGAAACAATCTAAAACCAGGATTCTTGTACATCTCAAAAAAGTCTGCATTTTAATAATCATATTTAACCATCAACTCCTTACATGAGAAACAATGAGTCCATTTTGAAGCAAGCCTCATTTGGTATATTTTTTGAATGTTGAGATATTTCTTATTAAAAAAATGGGTGTATATACATGAATAAAGTATATGAGTGCTGGCACAAATACATAACCATGCACAGAAATCACAAACTGCATGAATGAAATTATCTGTCTTGGCAAGGGCCTACAATTAAAATCTCTATTTTTGAAACATTAGCCATAAAACTTTCTTCTTTACTACAGCATCTCACATAACAGATCGCAGATATTACATCATCATGTTAATTAGTTACAGATCACGTAATATCTGAGATCTGTTATCATCATGTTAATTAGTTACAGATCACTATATTAACATAGCTCTTTATCCCTCCAAAAAACACACACAGCAAAATATTGTTCTGATGTTATCATCTCTACCCATAATTATATATTCCAAATAGATTTAAAGCAACTACTCTAATTAATTCTAAATCCAGATTGCTTTCTAATCAATATGTATCTATCTATCTATATTTCATGACTAACACTTTGATACATGACTCTTGTATAGGAAGCCTCTTATTAATCCTTCCTATATCACAATTAACTTTATGCCATATGATGAAGTGCTACTGTAACTATTTAGAATTGACACTAAAAGGGATGGGAAAATATTGGTGTATAAGCAGTGCTAGGGCTCTGGGGGTATGTCTACACTACCCTGCTAGTTCGAACTAGCGGGGGTAATGTAGTCATCCGCACTTGCAAATGAAGCCCGGGATTTGAATTTCCCGGGCTTCATTTGCATGAAGCCGGCCGGCGCCATTTTTAAATGCCAGCTAGTTCGGACTCCGTGCCGCGCGGCTACACGCGGCACGGACTAGCTAGTTCGGATTACGCTTCCTAATCCGAACTAGCTGTACACCTCGTTCCATTTAAAAATGGCGCCGGCCGGCTAGTTCGAACTAGCGGGGTAGTGTAGACATACCCTAAGAGAATAAGTTCATGTACTCTTCAGCCTGTAAAATCTTACACTGCACATCCTTTGTGATGCTGCCCAAGGGTACACTGAAGTGCCTCATTAGCTGCTCTTAGTGTGAGGCAGTCTTGTCTGTGCCTACTGTGACTCAGCTCCCTGAAACCAACAACCTCTGGCAACACAAGCATTGCCTTCCAGCACCTGCTCTCTGTGGACAGGTAACAGTAAGCAGACACCAATCTCCAGCTCCTAAGACTTTTCCTTGAAACATTTGGCCTCTTACCACTAAATGCTCACAGAATTATCAGGCCTGCTGTTCCCAAAGAACACTTCCCACCAGCTTTTCAAATTCAACTCAGGACCATCACAGCACTTACATACATTTATGTGTGGTAGGGGGAGTAGCGGGTATGAATACTGAAGACCAATAGTTAAACATTAAAAAAATCACGACACGCTACGAGCAACCAAACTTTACTAACAGGTGAACCTCCCATCTAAAGACGTTTATCTCCCCAAAAGTACTCATCGGTGTTCTGAGACCAGCCTGGCTAAGCTCCCTTCTTCAGGAAACAAAGCCACTGTCCTTTTACTTCCTCTCTGAAGGGTACCAACCTATCTTCTCTGATCATCCAAATATAGTCAAGCCAACTTTTGGAGTGCGCAAATATTATAATCCTACATACCTTTGCTTCCCATCTGTTGATCTACTTTGGCATTACCAGACAATCCAGTTTCTATAAGGCAGTGTTCAATGAGTGTGGCTCCATAAGCTATAAAAGTAGAGAGAACCAGCTGCAGATTACAGTTTAAACATTGTGGTTGAAATCTCTATGAAGATTGATTAATTTCCAGCCCTGAATGAGATACTCTGGCCACCACTGAGAAAATTCAAGAAAGGTCCCATACTACAAGGGCTTCATGGACAGATCCCTATGCCCATATAAAGCACATTGAAGGATTGCAGCCAAGTTCCTATGCCTCTGAATGCCAGGCTTTGTATTTAAATTCCTGACTTTTAACAGATAATTTTGTATTTTATATGTAGGAGAATGTCTTGAATGTTCTGAGAGACAGCTGTGGGTTTTTAAGTTTAATCTTCACATTAAATCTAACATGAATGCAAACAACTTGTACATTACATTTATAATATTATCATTACTTACGAAGATGTGGGTTAAGGACCCTTTTTAGCAGTTCCCCCTGAGGTGCATTTGATATTGTTTCCATCAACCTAGGAGACATAATAAACAGAACAACTGCTATTCAGAAGCCTAAATGCACAATGTTGAATAGATTGTCCATGTTTTTTAATTAAAGAGGAAAGCAAATAATTTCAATTTCATGAGAGCTACAATGTTCAAAGTATAAAACAGATTATTCACTCTTTTTTTATATGTAAAAGTAGCCTTTGCTTTATTTACAATATGCATATTACACAGAATGAAGTTACCTTTCCAAGCTAGGTAATGGTGCAGCTGCTTTAGCGTTATCAACTGGATACCGTTCCCGAACTGCAAATTTTACATCATCTGCCTCATCTGTGCGAAACCTCAGGATGTTTAAAATTAAGTATTCATAGTCTGTCAGAACAATGTTTCCCTGCAATAGCATCAAAACTGATCATTATTAGAGTCCTTATTAAATACTAATCTATAGACTAAATAGTTTTATGACTTACTCTGTCGTAAAGCTCAACAATTAGATGATAGGCGGCTTCATCACTTCCAAATTGAAAGTCTACAATTCTGTCTATACCCAGCTGTTTTACGTTGACAAGTCTTCTACTCTTTAAATGTTTACGACACTGCCAATGGGGGAGAAAGAAATATTAAAATACGCATATGTAAACAGAAAGGTTCTGTTCATGGTATTTTAAACTGAAATGTGTATTTAAATGACTGTCTCGCCTTTGACAATTTGAACACTCTATTATCTTGCTATATCCCACTTATTCTAGATGATTTCAAGAACTGATATAACTTACAAAACTGAATGTTACACACATGAGCTTCTCAAACTTTGAAAACAATCAAATTCTGACTTATTCTTGCTCTATAAAGAAAAATAGTAACTCCAAATTGCAAAAAACAAACAAAAAACCCACACCACTTTTGTTATTAAGCATTCAGCATTTACAGTATTAAAAACTGTACTATTTGAAATCTGTACTATTTGAAATCTGCATGTCTCTGCCATACCAAGGAGGGGAAGTACTAGTGCAATCCAAGGCCCGGGTCCTGCAATGACCTCCACTCAGGGTTACTCCTGCAGCTACAAGACACCCACTGATATTGCAGGGGAGAAGGGGATTTGAAGAGGCATTTTAATGAAGCTGCTCGCTGGCACATGGGTCTGCCTGCACAGTCTCTTTGCAGTAGTGAGGACTCAGCTAACCATATCATTAATCCGATTCGGCAAGCAGATTGCATCTACAACAGATTCATTTGTGAACTGGAGCCTAATAGTCCTCTTCAAGACCTGAGACCTCAAATGGTCTAGTCCTAGAGTGTTTACTCAGGCAAGGTCTGCCCCGCCACCTCCAACCCTGGCCCGGGCTGCCCACCCCATGGTGCCAGCTGCTGGGCCCACTGACTCCAATCCTGGCCAGGACTGCCCTCTCCACCACCAGCCCCAGCCAGGATTGCACTCCTGACTGCCAGCCCTGCTGCCTCCAGCCCTGGCCAACCCTGACTGAGACTGTGTTTCGCATGGCGCCACCCCCGGCCAGAGCTGAATTAAAGAGGAAAGCAAATAATTTCAATTTCATGAGAGCTACAATGTTCAAAGTATAAAACAGATTATTCACTCTTTTTTTATATGTAAAAGTAGCCTTTGCTTTATTTACAATATGCATATTACACAGAATGAAGTTACCTTTCCAAGCTAGGTAATGGTGCAGCTGCTTTAGCGTTATCAACTGGATACCGTTCCCGAACTGCAAATTTGACATCATCTGCCTCATCTGTGCGAAACCTCAGGATGTTTAAAATTAAGTATTCATAGTCTGTCAGAACAATGTTTCCCTGCAATAGCATCAAAACTGATCATTATTAGAGTCCTTATTAAATACTAATCTATAGACTAAATAGTTTTATGACTTACTCTGTCGTAAAGCTCAACAATTAGATGATAGGCGGCTTCATCACTTCCAAATTGAAAGTCTACAATTCTGTCTATACCCAGCTGTTTTACGTTGACAAGTCTTCTACTCTTTAAATGTTTACGACACTGCCAATGGGGGAGAAAGAAATATTAAAATACGCATATGTAAACAGAAAGGTTCTGTTCATGGTATTTTAAACTGAAATGTGTATTTAAATGACTGTCTCGCCTTTGACAATTTGAACACTCTATTATCTTGCTATATCCCACTTATTCTAGATGATTTCAAGAACTGATATAACTTACAAAACTGAATGTTACACACGAGCTTCTCAAACTTTGAAAACAATCAAATTCTGACTTATTCTTGCTCTATAAAGAAAAATAGTAACTCCAAATTGCAAAAAACAAACAAAAAACCCACACCACTTTTGTTATTAAGCATTCAGCATTTACAGTATTAAAAACTGTACTATTTGAAATCTGTACTATTTGAAATCTGCATGTCTCTGCCATACCAAGGAGGGGAAGTACTAGTACAATCCAAGGCCCGGGTCCTGCAATGACCTCCACTCAGGGTTACTCCTGCAGCTACAAGACACCCACTGATATTGCAGGGGAGAAGGGGATTTGCACAGAGGCATTTTAATGAAGCTGCTCGCTGGTACATGGGTCTGCCTATACAGTCTCTTTGCAGTAGTGAGGACTCAGCTAACCATATCATTAATCCGATTCGGCAAGCAGATTGCATCTACAACAGATTCATTTGTGAACTGGAGCCTAATAGTCCTCTTCAAGACCTGAGACCTCAAATGGTCTAGTCCTAGAGTGTTTACTCAGGCAAGGTCTGCCCCGCCACCTCCAACCCTGGCCCGGGCTGGCCACCCCATGGTGCCAGCTGCTGGCCACACTGACTCCAATCCTGGCCAGGACTGCCCTCTCCACCACCAGCCCCAGCCAGGATTGCACTCCTGACTGCCAGCCCTGCTGCCTCCAGCCCTGGCCAGCCCTGACTGAGACTGTGTTTCGCATGGCGCCACCCCCGGCCAGAGATGTGATCCCCACTTCGCCAGCCTGAGAGTGCTGTGCTGCTGGCCGCTGGCCCCACTGCCTCAAGCCCTGGCCAGGACTGTGCTCCCCATGGCGCCAAATGGGCATCCAGGGCTCGCTTGTCCAGCAATATCCGTGGTCCGGGATGTTGCCGGACCAGAGAGTCCCGGATATTAGAGGTGCAACCTGTACTCACTTAGCCAAAGTAAAATCCCAACAGTTGTTGATAATCCAGTAAACAGGTCTGAGCTTGAGTATCAGTCTTAAAAACTAAACTTTGATATTGCCTAGTACCAAGTACCAGTTGTGTCCCCCACAATTCTGCAGTTTCCCTTCCTTCAAGCCGCTCCCAACTTCATCATCATCCTCCTGACCAAGATCCAATCAGCTAGTCAACAATACTTTAAGAGTTCATTTATGTGTTAGAGGTGAAACTGCAGTTTTGATATTCACTCTCTCTTCTGAAGGAAATTTCAAAAAGAGAAAGATTAATTCACCTTCATTGCAAACCCAGATGGCATCATATTCTTTGGCCACTCAAACTCTGTTGTGTGAATCCGTATGCCAGATTCAATTAGAAGTGTAGCTTTACAGTCTGGCCTGTTGACAAAATAAAGATTACTTTGAACTTTAAAAGCCATCAATAGCAATGACATTTCATTACATTACAGCTGTACACTAAAATACCACAGATTGCCCTACAACTTATAGTTAAAGTCAAAGAAAACTTTCACAGACAATGTTATAATAAATAATATTAGAATAGTTGAGATATACCGAGGCCAGGTTGATAGCAAAAAGATCAATAGTTAGTTTTTAAATTTAAGCTAAACTAAACAAAGGGCTAGGTATCATGAGGTTATTTGATTACTGCAAAAATATCCAGGAAGAAGTCACTTTGAAAAGTCTCCCACCTTGAGCACAGTCCAGTTGATCAGGTGCACTACAAATGGGGGAAAAAAAGCTAACAGCCCAACACAGAAACTGGCTGACTGACTTTCCTGGCTCTGCGTAAAAAACATCAGACTGTTTGCTTCAGAACAGCAAATCTTATGACCATAATAATTACCACAGCATATACATGCACTGTTCTTGGTATTTTTAAGAAAAACTTTTAGTCACAAATCACTCCTGCTCCTCCATATATTTCTGTATTTTGTTTGTGAAAAGGGCAAAAACAATTATCTTCCTCCGATATTTTCTAAGGACTCCCATGATAAAAATATTTCTCTTCTTCAGGGAACACCAGAAACCTAGTTTTTAGCAAACTGGTTACAAAGGTTTGATAAGCAGCTAATAATGCAAGACAAATATGTTCAAATTTAAGAAGGAATAAAGCAAAGTTCACAAATGTTAAGAAGGTCTTACTTTTGAAGGCGAATAAGATATGTCTTATTATCCACATCATAGACATTATATACTCTCATTCCCAATAAGCTGTTAAACAAAAAATACACTTTGTGAAGCCAAGATTGAATTTATATAAGTGTGTCAGAAAGATGAAGTGACAACTACATTTATATGTACACAAATAAGTTTCCTAAGTTACAAGATTTTATACAAATAGCATTTGAAGAGGCAACAGGGCAGAAGCAGTAAAATGGACAAACTTCAGGGAAACAGAATACAATCAGAAGATGCTCTATTAATTAAATACATGAAAAAAGGAACTAGAAGAGAATAGCAATTTGAAGTCCATAATGAAACTCCAGAATTTCAGTAACAATCCATGTTATGAGAGACTAAAAGTCCATAATGAAACTCCAAAATTTCAGTAACAATCCATGTTATGAGAGACTAACGCATATCATATCTCTACATCACCAGTTTACCACTGAAGCCCCACTTACACTAGTAAGCTAGCCCCCAGTTGATGACTATCAGCAATACATGTGGCTGAACAGGTTTTTACAACCCTTGAGGAGCTAGCTTTGGATAGAAGAAAAGCATTTTCAGATAACCATAGAAAGCACAACTGAGATTCAATACTATTGCTCTTTCAGTCAGTAATTCAAGCCAGCATAAAGCAGATGATAAAATCACATGCAGATCACATCTAGAAGGATGTTCAGTCCCTCTGGTAGAATTGGGATAGGATGGGGGACTACGTGTGTCCAAGAGGGTAGCGGGATGGGGTCTCAGGGTTTTTTTAGGGAATAGTGGAATAAGGGATAGAGGGGCAGTGGGTCTGGGTTCCAGTGGGAATGTGTGTGTGGAGGGGTCAAGACGTCTCAGTCTCTTAGGGCATGTCTATACTTGACTCCTCCTTCGAGGGAGGAATGCAAACGTAGACATCCGAAATTGCAAATGAAGCAGGGATTTAAATACCCCACGCGTCATTTGCATAATCACTGATTGGCGCTATTTCGCAATAGCACTATTTCACACAAAAAAAACGGAGTTATTTCGAGAGAAAACCCTTCCCTCGAAATAACCCTTACTCCTCAAAAATGAGGTTTAAGGATTATTTCGAGGGAAGGGTTTTCTCTTGAAATAACTTAGGTGGTTTTTTTTCGCAAAACAACAACAGTAGGGTGGGATGATCAGGATTCTCCTGGTGTCTCACATGGGGCTGTTGTGGAGCATCAGTGCTCTCTCAAGGACCAATGGGGAAGAGAGGGGGCTCTCTAACAGGAGGCAATAGAGTCCCAGTTCCCGTGGGCAAGCTTTGGGTGTGGTAGTTCCCAGGCCTTTGACATCAGATGCTGAAGTGACAGGCTCCATCGGGGCAGTTCCCGGGTTTTCACATGGGGTGGGGAGTCAGGAGGGCAGAGGGATGCCCCAGTGCCTCATACAGGGATGGGTGCTTTGGGGAGGAGAGGGGGGACATTTCCCCAGAGAGTGGAGCGGGGGTTCTGCAGGGTCTCACAAAGGACAGTAGGGTGGAGGTTCCTGTCGGGGGCCTCCCATGTGACGGGGGTAGAGGGACGGGGGTTCTCCACGGTCTCACAGGGCGGGGGGAGCTTCCTAGGAGGGGCAAAGGGGCGGGGGTCCCAGAGTCTCA